AGGAAGAAACCTCCAGGCAGAACCAGGCTCAGGGAGGGGCGGGGCCATCTGCTGCGACCGGTTGGGGTGAGAGAAGGAAGACAGGATAAAGACATGCTGTGGAAGAGAGACAGAGGTTAATAACAGATATGATTCAATGCAGAGAGGTCTGTTAACACATAGTGAGTGAGAAAGGTGACTGGAAAGGAAAAACTCAATGCATCATGGGAATCCCCCGGCAGCCTACGTCTATTGCAGCATAACTAAGGGAGGATTCAGGGTCACCTGGTCCAGCCCTAACTATATGCTTTAGCAAAAAGGAAAGTTTTGAAGCTAATCTTGAAAGTAGAGATAGTGTCTGTCTCCTGAATCCAAACTGGAAGCTGGTTCCACAGAAGAGGGGCCTGAAAACTGAAGGCTCTGCCTCCCATTCTACTTTTAAATACTCTAGGAACAACAAGTAGGCCTGCAGAGCAAGAGCGAAGTGCTCTAATAGGGTGATATGGTACTACAAGGTCATTAAGATAAGATGGGGCCTGATTATTTAAGACCTTGTATGTGAGGAGCAGGATTTTGAATTCTGGATTTAACAGGAAGCCAAAACAGGAGAAATCTGCTCTCAGATGCCAACAGACTTAATAAACTAATCCGTAAGGCCAGTAATGTTGTGGGGATGGAGCTTGACACCCTCAAGGTGATGTCGGAGAGGCGGATGCTGTCCAAGATAAAGACTATGTTGGATAACACCTCCCACCCACTCCATGACATGCTGGTCAGTCACAGGAGCACGTTCAGTGAGAGACTGAGATTACCAAAAAGCACCACTGAACGACACAGGAAGTCTTTCCTGCCTGTGGCCATCTCCCTGTACAACGCATCCACTTAACACACTGTTTGCTGCTACAGCTACACATGTTTCTTTTCCAACTATTTATTTATGAGTGAAGTATGTATGTGTATATATGTATATATTGTACTATTCTTATTCTTAGTTAGTGTATTGTCTGTCTTGTCTTAATGTTGGTTTAAAATGGAGCACTGTAACAAAAAATAATTTCCCCCAGGGATTAATAAAGTATTCTGATTCTGATTCTTTCTAGTCCCTGTCAGGACTCTTGCTGCAGCATTTTGGATCAGCTGAAGGCTTTTCAGGGAGTTTTTAGGACATCCTGATAATAATGAATTACAGTCGTCCAGCCTGGAAGTAATAAATGCATGAACTAGTTTTTCAGCGTCACTCTGAGACAGGATATTTCTAACTTTAGAGATGTTGCGCAAATGGAAGAACGCAGTCTTACATATTTGTTTAATATGTGCGTTGAAGGACATGTCCTGGTCAAAAATGACTCCAAGGTTCCTCACAGCGTTACTGGAGGCCAAGGTAATGCCATCCAGAGTAAGAATCTGGTTAGATACCATATTTCTAAGATTTTCAGGGCCGAGTACAATAACCTCAGTTTTATCTGAATTAAGAAGCAGAAAGTTAGCGGCCATCCAGGTCTTTATGTCTTTAAGACATTCCTGCAGTTTAACTAATTGGTGTGTGTTATCTGGCTTCATGGACAGATAACCACACACAAACACACACACCCACAAAAACCCAAAACCACACACACACACACAAACACACACACACACACACACACACACACACACACACTTTTTAAGAATAAGTAAAACATGAACAAGCCAATAAGAATAAAGAAATAAAAATATCACAGTTCTGCAGATACCTCGTTTTATCCGACCACCAGTCCAGCCTCCTCTCCCAGTTCCTGATAAAAGCCACAAGAAAACCAGTCAAACAGACTCCGTCTGATTCTGACCAGGATTCCCCACCGTTGACAGTTTGGTTTTTTCTGTCATCAGTACCAAACAGCATGTATTTGGAAACACGACCAGTGAAACCAGTGCACGTATGTACTCTGAACTGGTTCCACAGTGGAACTGACGTTTCAAACCTTGCAGGGCTTCAAACTCCTCAGATTGTGTCACAGCTTTAGTTTCAGGCACAGCTGCTTCAAGGCTGTCAGTCACTACTGTCTCACATTTTTACTGAACAAAGAGTAAAGCAGCACGGAGGAACTCCAGTTTGAGTAACCAGACCAGTCTGACTCATCACACCAACACACTGCAGTGTTAAACGATCATGTTAGGATTTCACAGCTCTGCTCACAGCACTTCCCTCCAGCAGCCTGAGGAAACATGCAACAATGTGTCCATCGTGTGAAACATGTTGGTCAAATGGGTTTCAAAGATTATCTTTGAAACCCAACAAACCGAACACGTTCCAGTCACAGACACTGCAGCTCATGTTCCCCATCAAATACATCAGGTTTGTTTTTTTCAAAACACACTGGAATCTGTCTCCACATGATGATATCAAACAGCAGGTTTCAGTCCAGCACTCGTGCTGAGCACACAACAGGAAACAACGTTACACTGTAATAGAAAACCAGTGAAATAAATGGTACAATACTGGAAACTGTCGAATGCTCGCTTTAGTTTTATGACCAGCGTAAAATTCTTTGGTCACAATGAAGAAAATTGTACTTTTATGTAACTGGCTGCTCCATTCTGCATGCAGAACTGCTGGGGCAACAGACTGAACCAGAGTCTGATACTCATATAATCAAACTATTATTCTGGTATTTCAGCACAAAAGCAACAAAGAAACCTCACTGCAACTGTTGACAAGTCTGTAAAACATTCCTGCCATATTCATCAATGTCATCCTTATGGATAGAGCTGGGTGTCATCTGCACTTCAGTGAGAACACGTGCTATACTTGCTAATGACACTGCCTAAGAGAAGCATGTATGATGTAGACAGAACCCTGTGGAACTCCATAATAACCTTTACTAGTTACATTAACAATTTGCAGGCTGTTAGATACGATTCAAACCCTGCAGCACCAGTGCAACACACACACACACACACACACACACACACACACACACACACACACACACACACACACACACTTTAAGCACCACTATTACAATAAATACAATGAACAAGCCAATAAGAATAAAGAAATAAAAATATCACAGTTCTGCAGATACCTCGTTTTATCCGACCACCAGTCCAGCCTCCTCTCCCAGTTCCTGATAAAAGCCACAAGAAAACCAGTCAAACAGACTCCGTCTGATTCTGACCAGGATTCCCCACCGTTGACAGTTTGGTTTTTTCTGTCATCAGTACCAAACAGCATGTATTTGGAAACACGACCAGTGAAACCAGTGCACGTATGTACTCTGAACTGGTTCCACAGTGGAACTGACGTTTCAAACCTTGCAGGGCTTCAAACTCCTCAGATTGTGTCACAGCTTTAGTTTCAGGCACAGCTGCTTCAAGGCTGTCAGTCACTACTGTCTCACATTTTTACTGAACAAAGAGTAAAGCAGCACGGAGGAACTCCAGTTTGAGTAACCAGACCAGTCTGACTCATCACACCAACACACTGCAGTGTTAAACGATCATGTTAGGATTTCACAGCTCTGCTCACAGCACTTCCCTCCAGCAGCCTGAGGAAACATGCAACAATGTGTCCATCGTGTGAAACATGTTGGTCAAATGGGTTTCAAAGATTATCTTTGAAACCCAACAAACCGAACACGTTCCAGTCACAGACACTGCAGCTCATGTTCCCCATCAAATACATCAGGTTTGTTTTTTTCAAAACACACTGGAATCTGTCTCCACATGATGATATCAAACAGCAGGTTTCAGTCCAGCACTCGTGCTGAGCACACAACAGGAAACAACGTTACACTGTAATAGAAAACCAGTGAAATAAATGGTACAATACTGGAAACTGTCGAATGCTCGCTTTAGTTTTATGACCAGCGTAAAATTCTTTGGTCACAATGAAGAAAATTGTACTTTTATGTAACTGGCTGCTCCATTCTGCATGCAGAACTGCTGGGGCAACAGACTGAACCAGAGTCTGATACTCATATAATCAAACTATTATTCTGGTATTTCAGCACAAAAGCAACAAAGAAACCTCACTGCAACTGTTGACAAGTCTGTAAAACATTCCTGCCATATTCATCAATGTCATCCTTATGGATAGAGCTGGGTGTCATCTGCACTTCAGTGAGAACACGTGCTATACTTGCTAATGACACTGCCTAAGAGAAGCATGTATGATGTAGACAGAACCCTGTGGAACTCCATAATAACCTTTACTAGTTACATTAACAATTTGCAGGCTGTTAGATACGATTCAAACCCTGCAGCACCGGTGCAACATTGGCTACTGTACTAATGCTGCATGTAAAGACCAACAGGGGGCTCTAAGCTAGTGTACTCCTGAGCCCAGCTAAACAGGACAGGTTAGGCCATCTGATATAAAAACCTCGATAAAATCAAACATATCGTAATAAATAAGATTTCCATAGCGGATCAATCAAAGCCCAGGCTAACAATGACACTCAGGAGATGTACTCGACATGAATTATGCAGCACGTCTACCCAACAGACCGGAATAACACGATCTGCCAACTGAGCCGAGTGAAAAGTAGTGGGCGGACGGCTGGATCGAGGCATTGAAGAATCTCAGGAATGCGATGTATGCTGACAGGATAAGAGCGTGGACTCCTGATCGCACGTTATGCAATGGAAGCCATTTGCTGCTCTGCTTTTGTTGACACAAGGGAACAAAAGTCATATTTACATGTTCAGAAGGAACATGGCTTCACACCAACGTGACTCAAAATCCAGAACTTTGGTAGGGAATCATATCCAGTTCTTACATCAACACCATTATCAGAGCACACGGCAATATGACAGCATCCTAAAAACCTGTTTAAAATGGGTGCTCTCCCATTTTAAACAGGTTTTTAGGATGTGCTGCCGTCGGACGCCCGGCCTGCCGTCGGACGCCCGGCCTGCCGTCGGACGCCCGGCCTGCCGTAGGACGCCCGGCCTGCCGTAGGACATGCTTCATTCTCCTGTCTCTGATCAAGGCTTTATCTGTGCTTCAACTTTCAGATGGAGTGTTACTTTCAAGCAGTGCACGATGCTGCTTTCAGAGTAATCATGATGTAGTGCAGTGGTTCCCAAAGTGGCGGGCAGAGCCATTGCAGGGGGGGCGCAGTATGATTTTTATAAGAAAACACTGCTAGTATAATGGACACAAACGCAAAGCAGAGGTTGAAGCATCGTCAAAGATGCTTCCAAGCCAAAGACTAGAAGAGCAGCTGTCGTGCCGACAGGAGTTTCCCCTGCGTGGGGAGCAGCGCTGGGCTCTCCAAATCACGGACAAACAGGATCCCACATTCTTGATTTTTAGTTCACAAACACTTCTTATAACAACTAACTACTCCTGAAACTTTGGAGATGTTAGCACTTTGTACAGTTACAGGAGGATAAAAGTAATTATCGGGCAAAATGTCCTTCGTTTGTTAAAATAGTCCCGTCCAACACCACGTGAGAACAATAAATATATAATTTTCTGTTGTAACCCTCAAACTGAATGGTATGGAGGCCTGTTTCCACCACTAAAAAAAAAAAAAGTATCCACATAACTCCAAATTTCGAGTTAGGTGGATACTTTTTTAGGTGGATTCACTTCTACGTGAATGGCGTCATTTCCTTGTTACCCAGAAGCTGAAGCCCTCAGCTACAAATGCTACAGCTAAGCTACCAGGATTACAGTCATGAATGCACAAATTGCTGATTATTTTCAGCTTGGCTTCACAAATGATGAAATCCTTGTGTTATTAGCTGAATTATTAGCGTTACTATCAGCAACCGACCCGGTTTTGAGTGCGCGTTCCACGTGGATTACTGATTGACAGAGCAAATGACTCGAAATTTGGAGTTATGGATACTTCTTTTGTTGTTGTTGGCTTCCACAGAATGGCAATGTAACGACACTCACCATTTACAAAACTAAAACATCACTACTTCCCCGTCTAACTCTCTATAATGCAGTAAACTGGATCCCGTGTCCAGCCACTGACGCAGGATTAACACATTGTGTCGGTGATACCGACCTTGGCACAAACACGGATCCTGCCACAGTTTGTTCCCCGCTTCAAATCATGGACACACTGTATCCCACAGTTTGAGGTTTTTAAACCCACTTTGCACACAGAGACATTTTTGGAAAAATGTATTGACAGTGATGTTGAATATTCTTGTAAAATTAAGGAGGGCCTAGCAAAAAAGGTTTGGGAACCACTGACGGCATCAGGACCTTCCACGTGTTTTTCATGCGAGCACACAAAGGAACCGTGGTGGTTCCTCTCAGCATGTCATCAAAAAGGAAACGGTAACACACAGAAAGCCTCCCCTCCATTCATGTCTATATGAACCACACATAGAAAAGTGTGTGAGCCAACAAACTCACATAGCTTCAGATATGACGTTCCCTCTGTACAAACACACTGTGTAAAGTACACTAGTTTTTCCCCGTTTCCACTGTGATGATGGAAAACCCTTTAAATATTTAGACATTTTTGGGCTCTGGGAAATTTTTACTAATATAAAACCTGCACAGATTCCTGACCTGATCTGTTTCACAGATGCTTCTTTGATACTGCCAATGCTAACGTCAGCACACGCCTGGATGAACGGGAGGGCAGTCGGGCTGAGTGCATTCGTCCCATTGCTGTGTTGTGATCCAGGTAATCATTTACTATCCTTCACAGGAAGCAAATCCTGGAAGTTCACCTGGAACGTTCGGGCGCAGCACCGGTGGCCTTGTATTGGCTGCAGCTCTGTATTAGGATGGAATTGACCATTTAAGTAGGTCGTAATGTGGCAGTTGTTGGTCACACTGATATGACAAAGAGAAACAGGCTCTAGGAGGAGGATGTGCGACAGCTAAAAGCTGTGCACACACACTTGTTGCTGATACGTCACTACAGTGCAGGACTTGTGTGACTGGACTGTATCCACACTGCTGGTTCGGTATGCTGACGGACACTCTGGCACATTTATTTGTGCCTCCCATTTTTGAGTTACTGACCAACAGACGCTTCTTCCTCTCACCTTAAACCGGTTGCTTCATGTTCACTCTGTGTTTCTTTGTTTCATGGTGAAGAGCAACAGAAGCTGATTGATGCATTTCCTTTGCTGAAGCTCTGATACTGAGGTTTGTGCTGAGCAGTGACAGCTGTGTACCAGGTAATATCCCAGGAGGCGTTTTTCTTACACTGAAGGTTAACACACAAAATCAGAAAGCTGTCCACCGTCCAAACAGAAGTTGATGCTCGCCGAGTGTCAGACAGACGTGAGACTAGCTGCAGTGTACAAGTCTACGGTTTCTATGGCTGCTGTTGTATGTCCTGTGTTTTGGCACAGCACAGAGCCATGTGACTCGGTTACAGTCTGTACCATGAATGTGACTCAAACAGCATTAGCAGCTAACCAACAGTCAAAGCTAACCAGCAGCTGCTTTCATAATGTCCATCATCAGAAACAGTCTGATGGAGCTTCACATGCTCACCTGCATCTCCAGATGCTGAGCTTAAGTTCTGAGGAGACTGATTTAGGTCACAAGGACTAATTGTTTGTTCATGTTAAGACTGACACACATAGGTTGTGTGCTTGTAGGGAAGCGTCTGCAGTGACATCACCAGAGAGCCTAAAGTTCATCCTCTGATGAAACCTGGGAAGAGAACTCTGAAACTGGCACGCTGGCTTTGCCACATCGCGTTTTTATCAGCTGTAGACGGGAAACACGGATGGAACTTCCAGGTGGGAAAAAGTGTCTTCAATCTGCAGCCAGATGACTGTGGTGATCGAAATATTGATTAAAATAAGCTCATGGGAAAACGTTTCTCTTGCAGTCTGTGAGCATCTTCCTTCTTTGTTTTTGGGCTCTGTCACTGACTTTGGGTCGTACTGAATAAAAAAATAGGTCTGCTTTATAAATCTGTGTCATTCTGTGTTCCAGAAGCACATACTTTGGCTGCATGGGGAACATCTACCTTTGGTTCCGCGTGTCATTCGTTCTTAAAATCTCAGACTGCTGACAGGACAGAAGACGAGGCCAAAGGCAAACAAACGTCCTGGCACACGAACAGCCAAAAACACTAACTCGTCCACACACACGCAGACTGGCAGCGTGCCCACCAACTTCTCATGCTTACACAAAAGATGTGTTTTCAAATCAACGCTCTCGAAAGTCCTTTACTTCATTTTGGCGGACTTTCAAATCCCAAGTTTGCAGAAGTCCCTCCATGCAGCGAGTCATGCGTGGCGTGGGTAATGTAAATCTCACGGGGCATCGTGAACACGCAGTAACAGATGGAGGCATTGTGAGGAGCAGACAGAAGAAACGCGAACTTCGTGGAGAGTGCGCGTTTGTACGTGTTTCTGATGGCGTCATCCTTTAGCCATCCCTCACAGACTGTCCACGGAGACCGAGAGCAAAGACACGACGCGTTTGCCGTGAAACTAACAGATGGTTTGGTTCCTCTGAATATTTGCCACAACACTGACTGCTGTTCTAAGTCTGCTCCTAAAATCTGAGGCAACATGGAAGCATCAGTGTGTCCGGGCTCCTCCCAGCTGCTCCACAGATCCCGTTTAGCTTCTCGTCATCAAACATCTTCATCACAACATCTTCATCACAACATCTCATCAGAAGTTCAACAAACTGTTTCAAACGCTTTAAGGCGTAAAAGCAGCGCTTGGCACCGAGGCGGCTGCGGTCACAGTAGCGCTCCCCGCGTCTTTCTTCGTGCTGGACACGAAGGGAAAAGTTCCCGAGCGCCGGGAACAAGTTCGGGAACGTTCGGCGCGTTCAGACAAACAAGAGGACCGAACCTTTGTTTAAACTCTCGTGTTCGGCCCACAGCGAGACACACCGACAGGCCCGTGGGCTTCTAGCATCCACACAAAAAGTCTGAAAGCGAAGGAAACGTGAGACAAAGTAAAGACGCGACCGAAGCACTTACTTTGCTCTTGACTTCAGCAGACAGGCCGTAGGCTGGTCCCTTATTAAAGTGAGTCATCGTGGCGCTTTTGTAACCCACGGGATTACTCGCAAAGTCCGCGGAGTCGTCTGTGGAAAAAACGGATTCTCAGCGACTGTTTCGGCCCGACGGGAGCTCAAGCAGTGCGCGAGGCGAGAGCACGGTCAGCCCCCCGCCTCCTGTCCCCTCCCCTCAGTATGGGCTGCATCCTGAAAGCCCTGGATGAGTACAACTTCCACACATGACCAAAACTTTCCACACCGGGATCGTTTTTAGGAATCCTGTTCAGCTCAGCTTTGGTCTGCAGGCTGGCTGAAAACGAAAAGCTGGTGCAGCTTTAACCAAGTCCCACAGCACCCGAGAAACACACAGATCTCACCCGCTCCTTTCCCCGCCGTGCCGTGGAAGCAGAGGCTGCGCGTGGGCTTACTAACAGGCCTCGCTGCGTTCAGCTTCATGAGACACACGCGTGTGTACTGTCAGGGAAAACATGCTAACCCACGTGCACTGTGGTGATCCTGGAATGTGCGGGTGGACATGGTGTCCATCTTTCTCCTCTCATGCAGGGACTCGTGCTCGGTGTGGGCTCCACAGCCATCACACGTGATGCCACGTCGGACAGATAACGATCAACCTCCCCAGTGATGCGCAGGTGCAGCAGTTTCACCTTCACTGCATTGTTTTCTGAGTAGTTTAATAGTAGTGAGAGTAAATAATGGGACAAACAACTCAACAATACAGACACAACATTTATTCATCACACAGCAGGAATGAGTCCGTGTGGATCGGACACTTTCACACCATTCTTCCCAGGAAAATGGATTTGGGGTATTTGTCCCTCAGAGACGACCACTGTACAAAGAAGTAGTCGGATACAGGATACAGGATCTTCCCAGTGAGTGACAACGTCTGGACACGGCAAATACTCTCAGCGTAAACTATCAGGACTTTCTTTATTCCCAGAATTCCAAGGAGGAGTCCTGCTACACACAGGGGAATGCAGGTCCCCGGGCCGTTACACAGCACCTGAAAACACAGACAGGGGGGGCGAGCACACATCCGTGGAAAGAGGTTATTCTGTACATCTGTTACAAAACTGTGTGTCATGTGACAAAGACTGGCTCAAAGGCCATTCTGGATCGGTTCATGTGCACTCCCTGTCATCACAGGACGACTCGGACATGCAGCGCAGCAGCCTCTGTTCTCACACAGCGACCTCCCCTCCTCAGGTCCTTCAGTAGAAACTGTGAGAGTCAAAGAGGGAAACCCTGACACGTCCGGTGCATGTTGGGGTTTGGAGCTTACCGAACATATTTAAGGCCAAACCCGGCTGAGCTGAACCGTCTCAAACCACAAATGCATCAGAATGTTTCAAACAGATACGCGTTTGACTCACCGAGGACTGCGTTCAGTGAGACAAAGGGAGGGGGCTGAGTAAGTACGAGGCCTCAGCACTGAAGGAGGCTGGTGGAGTTTACAGGAAAGCTGCCGTGGAGTCTGGAGAAGTAATCATACAGCTCCTCTGCATGCACAGAGCCCCACTCTGCAGTCAGCTTACACCCACACCTCTCAGAGCCGTCTGTTTCCCTGCACAAACCTTACAGCAGCAGGGCTGCAGCGATAAGTTGATCAGAAAATGATCCTTTGCTTCAACGCTTCGTTTAGCGCTCGGCGCCGTCGCCACGTAAGCGCCAGCGTTTCAGCTGCGACTAAAACAGACCTGAAACAGCCAGCGTTTGAACAGAAGCAGTTTTTCAGCAGAAACAAATGTTTTTGTAAAGCGAAACCAGTGAGAAGCCGTTTTCTCTCCATTTACTGTCGCTCATTAACAACACAACAGTATTTGTGACTCAAATATAACGGATGGAATATTCCGTTGGTAACATGCCTTCAGCTGCAGCGTGCTAACCACCGCTGTGTGAGCCACTGTTCACTACAGTCTGCTCCACTCACCATGTCCGGTCTGAGCCTGAACACCAGAGGCAGGGAATAGCGCAGGGCATCGAGAGTGCTGACGACAGACGAGCTCCAGGACTGGTGCACCTCGCGGCTCCGTGGGATCCGACAGATGGTGAACTGAGGAACAAACACGTGTGCGTCACATTCGTCTGAATTTGACATTAGATGTTTAAATGGATTCACTGAGCTGTAAGCTGACAGGGACTGAAGACAAACAGAAACCAACCACACGCCTGGACCTGTGAGACACACGAGGACGTGCTTCTGTAGGGATGATCTGATATCCTCGTGTTGGTGTTGTTCCCAGACCATCATGAAAATGTTGTTCCAGGTTCAGCATTGCAAGTGACCAATCACATTGTTGTGACGTTATTCTTTTGCACGCCAAGCCATTCGTGCATTTCTGAAATTCCAATGTTGCGAGGACAATATCAGTTCTGCTCAGCGTTTATTAAAGGGTCAGGGTCTGTTGATCGGCGGACAGAGGCGGTTTCTCGCAGCTTAACTACAGTTTTTTGTTTTACGCCGGTTTTTCCCAAAGTCGCAAAAGTATGACGTCACAACATTCTGATTGGTCACTTGCAATGTTGATCCTGGAACAACATTTTCATGATGATCTGGGAACAACACCAACACGAGGATATCAGATCGTGCGCTTCTGTAGACAGCTTAAACCACACAGTAACAGGATTACTTCAGAAACGCTGGTGGCCAACAGGCCAAACTTTACTTTCTGTTTTGCTGATGTGCTCTTTGCCTGGCAGTGGAGTACTGTCACAGTGTGATACTTTCCTGAAGGACAGGAAATAAGTAACTCTTCCAGTGTGTGAGCCTGCTGTGTCAGGACTCTCCTGCCTATGATGATGCAGTCCTGTGGGAGCAGCAAGTCCTCTGCAGAGTCCAGCGGTGGCACGCTTTGCTGTATCTGAACCTCTGCACTGTGCTTGGGTGCAGCTGCTGGGCCATGGAGACCACAGAGCTCAGTGAGCTCTCGCTGTGCATCACCACACTGCTGTCATCAGTAACACTGAGTTAAAACCAAAAGCTCCATCATGCGTACCTGTGAGTCCGACTGTTGTTTGAGGCTTTCAAACGTGCAAATTTTCTCCTCGCTCATCCTGTCTGTGTCTGCGAGGACATAGTGTCGAGGTGTGTAGGCTGCAGACATGCACTGCAGCAGGTGCAGGACCTCTGTGGTATGACCACCTACAAATCAGAAAGAAGCACAGCAGCAGTTACAAGGTTAGCCACGACCTGGAGGACACTGAACTACACGCTCATCTTTAGATGGACACTTAATAAAGACAGACATTCAATTTGATTTAGAAAGTATGTTTCATCCCAGCATGAGTTCAAACAGGTCAGTGCGTGCTGGGCGTGAAGCGGCAGCGAGGACACACCACAGGACATCACTGACAGTGTTGGACGTGCACGTGGCCAGAAACAGCCAGGAGTCTGCTCAGCATCTAGGACCAACAGCTCTATAAAGCATCATTATCACTTTGAACTTCACATCA